ACCAAGTTCATGAAAATTATCAAGTTGAAAGACAGTGTCTAGCAGTATCAATCAAATCAATCAAATCGAAACTTTGTAATAGCAACCTTACAGGACAGTTGTGCAGTTCAGTGTCTTCACAAACATTTCATTAGATGACAATAAGAAAACTAAACACAAAATCACAATAAAATCTTACAGGTGAATAACGAAGTCATTGTGCCTATAAAATTCTACCTAAAAACTAAAATAGAGAAATAAATGAAGAAAGCAGGCATAAAATAAAGTGAGGAGAGGAGCCTAAAAAAATTGAATATAAGCTTATATAATATATAATCGATTGAGGAAATAAATTTAAAATAAACAAAGGAAGACATTTTAAATATTAATATATGAACTAAATAAACTTGAGTTAAAAAATGGTAAGATGTAATGTCTAAAAAACCATTCTTTAGTTTATTATCTCTCGATGCGCAATACCATCGCTGCTGGCTGCTTATTGGTCGGGCCTATTGGCTTGAATTTGCTGAGATACATAGAAATATTGAATATATATATATATATATATATATATATATATATATATATATTTATTTCCTTACTTGAGGAGTTTAATGGTTTGTCCTCTGAAGCATGGCAGTCCGGTGTCCAGCATGAGGGTCACTAGAGAAACCACTGCATCCATGTAGGGTCTTCAGAGAACAAGTGCAGAATAAAAACAAGTCATCAACAAAGCAAACCAGGATGTAAAAGTTCTCCTGTAACAAAGCCCAACGCTTACCGTACAGCCAGATATCCCCTGACACACATCTCCATGAACCATTTGAACGGTGTGGCCTCCATCTTGCCTCCCATGATCATCACCATCTCGTCCGTCAGCTTGATGTCTGGCTCCCAGCCCAGGTTACCGCCAGGAGAGCTCTCAAACATGAACCCGAAGTCTGGAGGAAACAAGGCCGACGTGAACACAAACAATCCCCATTATTGCAGTGTCATACAGGATGAGCTACTGCGGTCACAAGATAAACACAATGCTGAAGACGTCATAGACAACTACGTGACCACTACAGTGAGTCCATGTCTGTGTACCATACTGTACCGATGTGGATGAGGTGGCCCTTGCTGTCCAGCATGATGTTGCCGTTGTGTCTGTCTTTGATCTGCAGGAGGAACAGCAGAAGGCTGTAGGCGGCCATGCTGCGGATGAAGTTGTACCGAGCCTGTGGAAAGGAGAAGAGCACCGATTAGTGGTGAGGAGGTGAAAGTCTTTTAAATGGGAAATCTTTTGGGCAGTGTTTTAACTGAACTTAAAGGACCAGTGTGTAGGATTTAGTGGCATCTAGTGGTGAAGTGTCAGACTGCAACTAACTGAACACTGCTTGCATCTGTATTTGAAGTGTGCAGGGGCAACTACAGTGGCATAGAGGTAAATGTCTGCAGCATAATCACTGATACACAACAGTTCTGTAAAACAAACAACAGAGCAAAGTCCATCCTGTGTTACCATCAGTATCAGCTCTTGCCTTCTGCTTCCCCCTTTTCTGACTTTCATTAATCAAAACTATAAAAACACCCTCTACCATCTCTCTATGAGGAATATTTTATGATTCCTAATAACTTATTTTCAGTGTTTTCACTTGTTTACTTGTTACTTATTTCTATTTTGTACATATAATATGTTTATATGCTTTTTATCTTATGTTTCTGTTTCACTGCTGCTGAACCAAGGAAAGTGATTGCCTGATACATGATCACAAAAATTTTACTATAGATCATTCACTGGCACATTCTTCCCGTTATATAAGAGGACTATATAAGTGGACCCTCAATTTCAAATCTGCGGAACTACCATTAAGTTAGAATAAAATAGTGGCGGCCAAAGGTTAAAATCTCAGCACCTTCTGGAAGGCGAGGGTGGATTCATCTCCGTACTGGTTACGGAAATAATCGTACATCCCGAAGTCCGTCTGTCTGCCAAGCTGGTCTCTGGACTTGCAGTCTGGGATGCACTCGATCACACCACACTGAGGAAAAGAGGATCAGTTAATAAATACCTGATTATGGAAATAAAATTCTATCTATCTGCAAGGTAAAGGTTTTGTCACTGGAGTCTGGGTGACTGTAGCGCACATAGTTTTGGTCTGAGATGCTGATGCTCTAGTTGCAAAACTAAGTGTTTAACATTGTGTTCAGACTGTGTGAATCCAGACTTGTAGCAGCGTCGTCGTGTTTCTTTATCTCAACAATTCAACTGGTGAGTAAAATGTAATGTAATGTAACTATTAGGCAATGATGGCTAAAACCACAAAAATAAGATCCAGGCTGTAAAAAAAGAATTTAACTGGACAGAGGAGGTGTAGATAAGGGAATACTGGATTTGGAGGGAGTAGTGGGACATGAAGTCTTACCCCTGGTGCAGTGGCCACCACTCTGTAGGGGAAGACGAACAGATCCAGGCCAACCAGCTGGAAAATATTCTTAAAAAGCCCAATGATCTGCAGAGCGAGCATATCCTGGAGGCAGAGAAACACAGGAGGGGTCACAGGAGAAATTCTGTTAAAGCTTTGTCCCTCAAATGTCCCAGCAAATGAGTTCAGCAAGTGAAAGAAAAGTGGTACCTGTCTGCAGTCGTCTCCCACTTTAAAGATGGCCGCCTGCCAGCAAATCCTGCGCGATCCGTCTGGATTCTCCTCTCCGTCTTCCAGAGAGTCCGAGGGGCAGCGGAGACCCTCCCTCTCCAGCTCACTCACCCCACAGCGCTTCACCTTGAACTTGGCCAGATAGGGCGCCTTGGCAGCACTGTGACAACGGAGAACACACTCCCATGAGACAATATATGGACAAATTTGAGGTCCAGAGAGGCAAAATCTCGACATGAAGGAATAATTAAACCAGTCATTACCTCTGCATGGGTGTTCCAGACTTGTAGTCGATATCCAGCACTATGGCTTCAGGGTTACTGGGTAGGTAACAGCCTAAACAAACACCAAGTAGAGACAGACAACAGTAAGCTGATATCCTAATATATTGAACCATATCCCTGTATCGTGATACAAATTGTATCGAGACAATTTATTTTAGTCATTCGATACAGATTTCCCACAAATGTGTCTGTTAGAGGATAAACATCTCAGGCCACTGAGGTTTACTAGAGCAGTGTTGGGCTGGTGACAGGCTTTATTGGCAGTAACAGGTGCATTTTAACGTAGTTGGAGCTTCTTTTTGAAGATATTACAGTAAAATTTCCAAAACAAACACACTGATAAATTAAGGATGCAATGTATTCGACAGGGTTTAGGATAAAAATTAAATAGTTATTACGCTACAGGACTGTGCCCGTTAAAATATAAGTTTGTACTTTTGAAGAACCCAAAACGTTTGTTTTTGCTGCAGCGCAATAATCCACTGCATTACCTGACTGGACTTTGATATCCGACAGAGCTTTGAGACACGCCCTTTTCCTCTCCTCTCCCTTTGGAACCGGCCTGAAAATTGAAAAATAAATCAGGTTTTACTTGACGCCAAAATATTTCCTTGTTTGCTAATGATCTGTAGAGTAGTGGCAATGAATGTACTTGAGAATGGCGGACACGTTGGTGATCTTGTTGAAGAAGTCAAACTCTCTCTGGTAGAAGTCTTTGGCCGGACCCGACAGAGAACCTGTGATCTCCTCAACCATCTGCTCCAACAGCTCCCCGATGTCAGCTACGCAGATTAGATCAATGTAATTACATCTACTTCATTTGATTTAATTAGTGCCTGATAAGGGTTCTCCCAACAGGCAGACAATATAATTACATATTAAAGTTAAAAGATGTCAGACCGTACAATGGAAGCATGAGAGTTCGCTGTAATGTGGAAGTCTCTACTCACGATCTTTGTGGTGTCCTTCCTCATCCATGAAGATGTTGGTCTTCATGTTCCAGATGAACTGGTGGGCGAGAAGCTGAGACTTCTGGGCCGCCCACAGGATGTACTCTCTCACATAACCCATCTGAGCAGGACAGAGTATCAGAGTTCATCACTGCTGCTTCAGAAACGACAATCAAACCATCATCAAAACAGTTGTTTGTTCTTTTCTGGCAACTAATTGTTTAAGTGCTAGTTTACTTTATTGTCCCTCGTCTTGATTTACTACTGATCCTTAATGGTAACTATAGTGAAGCTATTGATAAGAAATAGTAATTATTAAGAATTTCTGCTTAATACTGCTTTACCTCGTGATCAGACAGCCTATTTCTTTGGCAATAATCGCATTGTATCAGCTGTTTGGGTCACAAAGCTTGGAGATACGACTGAAATCAAACTTTGCACTTCTAAAAGATTTCAAAGAAGTTGTGCCGCTGTGACCTAAACAGTGGATTTGCAAAGTAATACAGTGTGTAGGAATACAGAAGTTCTACGGTTAGTGCTACTGCGGCATCTAATGGCGAAGTAATGGAAATATATTTTTATATCGTGCACACATTAACTGATTTTTTTGAGGTGGCTAAAATACATTTTTCTGCTGCCCGGGTCCACAGCAGTGCATTGCTCTGTTTCTCCAAACTGGGGACAGGAACTAAACTATCCCTTTAAACAGTGGGTAGATGTATATGTAAATACTGCAGCTCTCACATGTCATCTAAAATTAAAGTGTGTACTCATACAGAGTAAGTTATTGTTTACCTTATCATAACGGAGAGCCTGAACAATCTGAGGAATGTAGAACAAGATGGCATCCTAAGAAGAGAAAAAAACTAAATGTTAAGAGAGCTTCATTTTCCTAAAGTTGTATTTCTTAACAGCAGTTTAGTGTAAAAAACGAATGAATCTGTCTGAGCTGATGAGTGTGTGACTCACTGGAGGAAAGGAGCGTAGCACCTTAACCCCGTACTGAGCAGTGAGAGGATGAGGAGGGTACATGCTGCTGAAGTAGGACAGACCAGTGGGTGGGTCTGCCGGAGCCCAACACAGGATATGACTCAGCTCAGGAGAGTCAGCGTCAATAGTGTGCCACGTCACCAGGAACTAAAAAGAAAAACAAATCATTCACAAACATAAAAAGACAAATTTTCAGAGCTCGTCAGCTGAGCTTTATTAAACTAAGTGATGTTACCTTGACGGCCTCAGGCACATCACTGACAGCTCCGGGGTCCAGTCTCACCAGCCGGGTCACTTCAGCCACAATGGCGTCATTCTTAAACCTGGAAACAAAGTTAAAAATAAACCTTCTTTAGGTAAGAAGTGGTTAAACAAAGCTAAAGTACAATTGTAACTTCCTGGTTCTGTTCCACACGTAAGAAATCTTCATTAAAAATCCCATTTATGTTTGTTAGTAATTAGCAAAAGCCAAATGGGAGCAGTAGTTTTTGTTTAGCTTACTAAAAATCATAAATGTTTCTACTTCTAATGTCAAGTGTTCTTCTACATGCTCATGTATCTTTAAATATGGAGAGTAAACCCAAGGAACATGTTGTGTTGTTCCATCAAGTTCATAGTGTCACTTTAACAGTCTGGGTTTGTATCACACAAACAGAGAGAGAGTGGCTACCTGGTTGGTAACTGCATAGCCAGGTAGGGAGCGATACCCCAGGCCAGGTTGACGTTGTCCTTCCACTGTTTCTCAGTCAGACTGATGTATTTGGACCTCCAGTTGGCAATGCTGGTCTCCACTGACTGCTCCGTGGCGATGGCCAGTTCCTGAGTGGAGAGGGGGTTGTACCACGTCGTCAGGCGTTCGATCTCGCTTGCCTGGAAAGATAGACAAACAGATGGACATGAAAGGGCAAGGAGGGAAAGAAAGCGTGAAGAGTGGCTGATGATGAGCAGTAAATCAGCCCTCACCAGTAAGGCCAGCAGCAGAGTCCTGCGTTTCATGTAGTATTTGTGAAGCTGCGTTCCTCTGTTGCTCTTCTTGGACGTGCCTAGAAAGAGAGGAGGCGCAGACAATGTTTAGTTTCAGTATTAGTTTTAGTTTTTCCCCAGTTATGCTATAGTGGAAACCAAATTGTATATTGTCATTGTATTTTAATTTTAGTTTTGTAAGTACACAATTTTATTTTTATTTCAATTAATTAAAATTAGTTTTATTTTTAGTCAACTATAATAACCTTGATCTGCAGTTTGGACTCTCAAGTTCAACTTTAACTCATTTAATCACCCAAAGAGCCTCTGCACACTTTACAGGTTAAACTATCAGACACAATACTGTGAGCCCTCACATCTACAAACACACACAGGTGAGAATGTTAAATCAACAGGACCGAAGTTAGGAACCTGTAAACTGAAAAGGATGCCAGTGTGCTATAAAATAATAGTCTGCATTGAGAAAGGTCTTTATTGTTATGTATATGTTCACGTTAAATGTAGGCTGTACCTGATTTCTTGGATGTGGTGGACATGCCACTGGACAGCGGGTAGGTGTTGATCCATCCCTGGCCGCTCTGCTGGGAGCGAGAGCTGGAGTCCATGTTGCTCCTGAGGTCGGCAGCGTTCATCACTGACAGACTGTTCAAGGACGGGTCCTGATTATCTGTTTACATACAAACAGTTTTAGTATCGCCAAGACACAAGCGCTTCAAACCGTAACTCTGCTCTTTGTTCTCCAGTTCAACTTGCCCGACCTTCTCTCAGGAGTTTCTTGCAGTCAATATTATCAGCTTTTAAACAAAGAAAAACATCAACAATATGATCGATGATGAGGGAGTTTCTAAAGAGCGAGATGATCAGTTAGTCCTCCGCTGCTGTGATGGTCATGCATTTGAAAGCAGGGAAATCCAGCGGGATTTTAATGTAGGTAGAAGTTGCCTTGAACCACTGATACTGGGTCAGATGTTATTATTTTGTCCTGTTAATGCGCGGGTGGGGAGGGGGGCTGCAGGTAGATTAATCTTATCCAGGATCAGCGGTTAGAGGACTCGTCTACCTGAAGCGTTTCGATGTGTATGAGAATGAGACCATGTCTTTTCTCTGGGTCGTCGGGAATGAAGAGGAGAGGATTTTCTGGGGTGGAAGAAAAACACTTTTTAAATTTGTAGTTTCTTCTTTTGGTGCCAAGTCGGTCTAGGAAAGGGGCAGACGGGTGGGCTGACATGATGAATTATCATGCATCTTAACGCAACTGACAAATTTGCGCTTTTCCTCACAGCTGCTAAACATTAAGGATACAGACTGATTGTAAAAGTATGAGGAGTAAGATACTGAAAAGTGAGAGGAAGAGGAAGATAAATGGCAGAAAGAGTAAGAAAATAAGAGGAATGGTGAGAAGTAAAAGCTATAAAACCATAAAAAAGGTGGGTTTGTAACAAAAGATAGATGCCTGGATCTATCAGCAGCATTGTGAGGACGAACAGCGTCAAATTTGACACGCGTAAAAAAACATGCCCCTGCTGCAGTGCAGTCCGAGCTCCACCGCTTTAGGCTTACTTAAGAGAGATATCGGAGAAGTGCTGGACACGATAAGCGATCCAAATATCCCGGCAGAGAGCGTGCTCGGGGCTGGGGTAGTACCAAGCTCACCAGGTGGGACCAAGTGGCACGCTGCCAGGTACTTCTTATCGGACAGGATGCTGGCGTAGAAACGGATAATGATGCTGATGTCCTCGCGCAGATTCTTGTCGCCTTGGGTGGGAAACTTTGGAGCCACGCTGGAGAGACAGACAGCGGAGATTAGATTATTAAAAGTTAAAATGTTGTTGTGTTTTTAATGTTTTTACTGAACCTTTGTGCTATTCAGATATTCTGTGAGAGTCTACAGCCATACTAGCAGCTCTGTGAGGTTATACTTAAGCACAGAAATGCTAATGTCAGTATGCTAACATGCTCCCAATGACAATGTTAACATGTTGATGTTTACTTTGTTCACCATATTAGTTTAGCATTGTAGCATGCTAATATTTGCCAATGAACTGAATTGAAAAGACAACCAAATTTTTAAGATTAAAAGATAAAATTGACACATAAATTGACCGAGGATTCCTCAACTGTTATTGGAGCACAGAGTAAAAAGGGGCGGGACTTAGGAAGCATTAATACTACTTTCTATCATTTGTTCCTTTGGGTTCTGGACTGTTTGGACAAATCACTCATCATGAAGACATCACCTCAGGCTCCTGGAGGCAAACTATCACTATTCACTAAACTTATAAACCAATTAATGATGATGGATTGAAGGAATAACTGAATCATTGCATGAAAATATTTGTTGCCCCCCTAGATCTGACCTGCACAGTGTGTGTAGGTACCTGAAGTAGTCAAAGGCTGTAGAGTAGATCTTCTCTCGGAGCACATTTCTTACAGTTGCATTTGTGAGGACGTCAGAGTGAAGCAGAGCCAGACCGAGAGTCAGCAGCCTGAAACACAGAGAAACATGATCCCTATAAACACATCTGCAGCTCAAAACTCTGCACTTTTGCAGCTTATTGTAAAGACTTCTGAATAAGTAAATAGATATAAAATGACATGAAGCTGCCTAAAAATTACATATAGAGATCATAAAACATAACATACATTATCTGTAAGCTTTGTATTTGTGTTTAGGTACCTGAAACGAGGTCCAATGGCGGCTACGTGGCGGTTGATGCTACTCTTAGCCCCACCAACGTTGAGGGACAGTGATCGTTGTAGCAAACTGCCAAAGATCTCCACTTGATCTGCGCTGGAATACTTCGCTATCTCAAACCTCTGCACTAGAAACTGGAGAAAAAGAAGCAGGCGTTAAGAGGCTATAAGTCAAACTGAACTGATTAAACATGTCGTAATAACCCGAGCAGAATGTCCTTTGTCTGACCTCGATCCATATGTGGTGAGGGGTAACATCTGGAGGGCAGGGGATGGGCTGACTCTCCTCTGATGCAGCCAGAGGATCGGCCTCCACCTGAGCGTCTGAGAACAAGCCCATCTTAAGCTCCACGGTCATCTGCCAGGCGCCCGCCATCTCTCGCATAAACTAGGCAGCCAGAGGGGAGATTGATAGGACCTATAATACAATGCACAAAAGCAAAAATAATAAAACACATCTACATACCGGTACTTCCACTCCAACACGAGCTGCCAGCAGCCACTCCCAGCAGGCGATAGACGTTTCCATGCCGTGTGCTGTGAACATCTTGAGAGGAGACCAGCAAAGGTGGTGGAGCAGCTGAGGATCGCAGTCTAGTGTAGTCAAGAGAAAATAGAGAATACAGAACCCTGCTTTTGGTTCAAAATATGTGTGTTAACAGTAGAAACAAGGACAGAGAAAGAGTTCAACCTTTGGTGCTGATGAGCAAAGCGGCCAGTTTGAACATGGCCTCAGTGAAGGCTTCAGGCTGTGCAGAGTCTAAAGCCTCTGCCATCTGCTTGATTATCAGCCGGCCCAGATCGGTCTGTCCCCGGACTGCCTGCGCGAAGTGGATCATGCCGGATACCTGCAGACAAAAGAGAAAAGATGTGAGCAGGAGCACTGCAGTAGAGCAGTGTTTTATCTGTCCACAGTAGCCGACTCCATCTGGTTGTGCTATGGCTCTGTTACCGCTGCAACGAGGTTAGAAAGTGCATCAGCAAGTATTCAGAAATGATTACGAAGCATCTGTTCCTCAGCGCTCATATTTCTAATGCAGTTTAAAGTTGTTTTACAAGAATAGCATTGTAGCTTAGATGTGGCATCAGATGCTCTGTGGCTGCACTATAAGAGGACAACGTTTTGTTTCTGATGGTCACACAGTACAGCTGTTGTTTATCTGGATTATGTTTATTTTGTCAAACGACATTATGATCATAAAATGATTTTTTCTGTACTGCAACCACTACAAAATAATTATTTATTATTAGAAAATTCATGTTTCTAAATATTATAATTGTGAAGCAGAAACTTGTTTTAGATGTTTACAACCAAAGAACCAAACAAACAATACAAAGGAATAAAAAAGGTCAAAACAAGCTAACGAACAAGTGAAATAAACAAACAAGTACAACACCACAGACCACACAGTTCAGGTAGCTTAACCAATGTAACATGCACAGGAATGTAAACTTCCCCTTCCCTGAGCAGTGTCACTGAAGGGTGATAAGGATTATAGCTTGCACACTGCGATTTAACCATCCGTCCCTTCAATAAAAGGAGATCATCAGGTCCCCAATTCCTCCAGTCTGTCCTCAGGAATATGTTGGATTCTCTACAGATTATTCGGCCCATAATAACCGGTATGATTTGGTGGTTTTACCTCTCCAGCATATCTGTTCCTGAGGTTGAGGGAGGCCATGAAGTTAGAGTAGTCCTTCTTCACACAGGTGGGCCTCTCAGTCAGCTGAGTGGACTGTAGATGAAAGCATATAAATTAAGCATGTGAACTGTGACAGATTATGTAAAACGTCTGAAAAGGGTTTATCAACGTATCTGTTACAGTGATGCTTTTGGTCACTCAGATGCTCTGTAAGTGTCTGTTATGTAAACGTTCCTTATGGATTTTTTCAGATGTGACAGCACATTTACAGAAAGAGCCACAGTGTCTGTGCGATATTTGGCAGCTGGTGTGTGAGAGCGAGCAGTGTCATCACTGTTCTGCAGCGGAGAGCACAAAGTAATGATGTGAAAGTGTTTTTTGTTCTCTCGCAGGCTGCATCAGTAATCTATTTATTATTTCGCCATTGAAGCTTTAATCAATGAGCACTGTGGGCGTGAGAGATGCTCACTGTCCAATACATCTCCCACTAACGCTCCTCATCAATTCTCTCACTGACTTCTACTGCCTGTTTTATAATGTTTGCTGCATGTAAAGCGTCCTGGATATCCATACTTTCATCAATGCAATCCATTATTACTGTGGTATAGAAAGAAATTAATATGTATAGACTGAGCTGATGTGAGAAAAATCTCCCCAACAATGTAAAATCGGCTCATTCACAGTGTTTAATTGTTTATTAAACCGATTTTATTTACTTGATGAAACCATTATTGCACTGATTTTAATCAGGAGGAACAAGATGCGCTTTTAATTCCTCTCTCTGCACGTTTAATCTCATACTGCTGCCACCTTTATGCTAATCTGACATTGTCATGACTTTTATGTAAAGTGACTCGTATGTTTAGAGCCAAATGTGCAAATTTACTACATTTTAGTAACAAATGAATTAAGCAGCTATAGAACTGTAGGAGGTGTCCCACAAGGCTCTGTTCTTGAGCCATTTTTGTTCCCGTCATATTCTGGCAGAACAATCACAATTAAATAAAACCAATTACAAGCATTAGCATATTTGACCTACCCCCAGTGTTGTACTCTGTCTGTTGTACCCGGCGAAGTGCAGGATGCTTTCTGTGGCCATGGCCAGGCCCGTGTGCTGGGAGAGACCCGACACCCAGTTCTGATGTTTGTTCAGATACTCCTGAGGAAGACCACATGAAGTACAGTCTTTAAGACCACCACATGAACTTTATTTATTACGTGTGTTTTGATTTTTGTAGAATAAATGTTACCTGAAGGTGTGATTTGGTCACAGATGGCGCCCACTTCATAGCCTCTTTAAGGATCTCCCCACATCGTGCAGCAAAATCCTTCACTATGCTCTGGAATTAAAGATGTTTTATATGTGTGATGTGTTTAAAACAGGCATTTTTCATACAATTCTTTCACACTTGTTCATCACTTTAGATAAATTACACATAACAGGGTTTCTGCAGCTTTCAACAGGTTAAATTTAAGACTTTTAGAGACTTTTTAAAGACCATCATGAAGACCTATTTCACATCTGAACAATCAAACGACAAGAAGGAAAATCAGTATTTGTTCCATCTTTTTTTAGTTTTGTGGTTTTTACAGCATGATCAATAAAATTTTTTCACAAAAACACATTTAAAGTGAGTCTGAAAATGCAACTTTATACAAGTAATGCTGACTTAATTATTTTTAACATTTTTAAGACCTGTCAAAATCATATTTAAGACATTTGAAGGTCTAAAATTGAGATTATTGGATTTTTTAAGACTTTTTAAGACCCTGCAGGAACCCTGACATACAGATGGAGAACAGTTAGTAAAGGCAGTATACAGTGGTTAACTGGACTAATAACTGGTTCTGAATACAATAACATTACCTCTCTGGCTTCATATGTATCTGGGACAGTGATTCTGTACGGCGTGTCTGGGATGTCGTAGTAAGGTTGGTCTTTATGGATGTCCTGCAATACAGCATAAACATCACAATGAATGTAATGGTATACACATCAATTAAGTGTAAGATAAAAGATAAAAGATAGATGCTACATTGATGATGTTTTCCATCACTCACCGCACTGAGTGAGAGGGAGAGCGTCTGCAGGATGTCTAACATGGTCCTCAGCACGCGGCCACTCCACAACAAGTGGGGGAAACTGAGGAGAGAGAAAATACCGTTCACATTTCGGGGTATGAACCTGCATTTTAAACTCTTTATATAAGAGTGAGTGTAGTATTTTAAAGGAAATGTATCAGTGCAGTCTCACGTTTCAGCCAGGCCTGATAAATATTTGTCAGCCACTCTGCGGATCCTCTTGTGGATGTGGTTGAAGTTGACCAAGAGGAACTGAGCGTGACGTTCTAGCTCCTCCTCGTGGGCTTTGGTTTTTGGCTGAAAAATGTAACATTTTATTAACATTAGGTCTGCAACTCATCAAGTTTAATAAAGTTTAGTTTATAATGACATAAAAGCGGCAAATTCTCACATTTAAGAAGCTAGAAGAAGAGAATATTTGGTGTTTTTGCTAAACTGATTATCAAAATGATTTCATTTACTGTCAAACAACTAATCAAACTAAACTAATTAATATAGTACACTAGTGGTATTTACTAACCCTGCAAACAACCACTAGTATATTTGGCGTTGCTGCAATATTTCAATTTAGCAGTTATTTACTAAGATTACAGATGTAAATGAGTTTATCCTGATTGACAAAATGTTTAAAATCAATATATGTAGGGCGCCTGGTTAGCTCAGTCAGTAGAGCTGGCGACCCATATACGCAGCGGCCCGGGCTCGAGTCCGACCTGTGGCCCTTTGCTGCATGTCGTCCCCTGTCTCTCTGCCCCCCTTTCCTGTCTCTCTCTATCTCTATCAAATAAAGGCATAAAAAAGACCAGAAAAAATAATACTTAAAAAAAAAAAGAAAAAAAAAAAATCAATATATGTAAAGCAAGGGAGTTTTCTACTGTTGAATATTATTGACGAGGAGACACAGGAGAACATTTATCCCAAAGGAAGGCTAACTATTCTCCTACTGTGAGGCCATTAAAAGAATTTGAACAACCAATTTTGAACTGCTATTCTTCTTACCGACACAAAACTGTAGTGTTTGTAAGTAAATAAGGACTAATGCAACTGTTTGGTGCCTAAAAAAGAGCCTTATAGTAAATATGTGTGTCCACTGTGTAATGAAACAGAAGGTAAGTGGAAACATCTCACTTACTTTTTCAGCCATCATTTGCAAGAAGACCTCAAAAACCTTGTCGCTAACGGCAATCACACACTGCATCATGCCTGGGGAGAATATATTAAATATTAATGCACACAATAAATAAGTAACAACACATGTTTGTTTTTTATGTATTTTCTCTTCTGCTTACCAGATTTATCCTTCTGTATCGCTCTGTCTTCAAAGTATCGGAACATGACCTGAAAGCGGTCCGAGTCCAGAGCACGCAGCATCCTGACAGATCGTAGAACACATAAAATTAAAATTACATCTCTCTGCATCACACTACAAACTTTCCTTGAGAAACTCATTTTAATTGCTCGAAGTGCATCTTACACAACTGGATCAAAGACTCCCCGTCACATGTTACCCTCTGGTACAGAGAGATTTTAAACATTCTCCCTCATAAAAGATTACAGGCTGTTTTAAAAGGAAAAGAGAAGCGATTTTGGTCACGTTTTCTAGATCATTTACCTGCAGAACTGAAAAACGTACTTCTAAGACCCGTCTCATGAGCCCATTAATGGGACATACCACATGATATGGCTCCGGATGACTGCTTACCCTAAACTCACATACATATTGTGGACTGGAAACAATACTTTACATAATTCCATATGATTAATTAACATACTTTTTGATGCATTTTTATTTTTGTTATTCTTTATTTTCCCCCCTTTCTCTTATTATTATTATTATTAAATATTAATTATTTCTCTGTATTTTAGATTTCTTTTTCCCTTTTTGGATCTATGGCTGTCTAGGATGTGGGGTTCTTTGTTTAAACTCAATAAAAAGTATATATATATATATATATATTAAAAAAAAGATGGTCCAGCACATAAGCCAATATATACTCTGTAGATATATCTGCATACCTCATGTATTCCAATCTGTAAACAGACAGCAAATATGTGGACATGGCAAAGTCCAGTTTGTTGATGAGAGCAGCCACCTCGGGAGGAGGATCCAGCAGGTTGATGATGGTGCTACGCAGATCATTCAGCTCCGCCTGAGACACAACAGTGAGACGTGAACTAAGGTATATACTTTATGTGAGTGTATGTGTGTGAGTGTGCGAGTGTGCTCTCATACCGGAGTGACCGTGTCATTCTTCAGTGCAGAGTTGTACTGCAGCTCTGAGCGTAAAGGCTCCCCGCTGGGAAATGTGAGCAGCGGTGATTTGGTTGCAATCTCACAAACTCCCTCATACCATTCCTCAGGCCACAGACCTGAGACAGAAACAAATCATGATGGTGAAATATGATGCAATGTGAGGTATTTTGTACATTGAAACCTCATGAACAGGAAATATATCATGCAGTGAAGACAGAAAATAATTGAACCGACTGTACCTGAGCCCTCCACAGCAAATCCCATGACAACAGAGTAGAGCCAGAAGTCCCTGAAGAGCTTCTGCAGACGTGGCTTTGCCTCCTTAATTGGCGGCAACCTCTTAGTCAGCTAACAGGAAGGAGAGGAAGAGAGAGAATAAGTCGTTCTAGTTATTAAAGGTTATATATATACATATATGAGATTTTAAAAAATTAAAATAGCAGCAAACATCTTTTTGCTATCTATAGAATAATGGAGTCTGGTCGGTCGTAGCGACCGTTGTTTTGATCTGAGCTGCTGGTGTGCTAGTGCAACATCTAGTGGCAAGTGCATTTTGTATATATAACAGTTATGGTATAGTATTATAACCGATCATTAAAAAGGATTTACTTTTAGGACATTGTGTGTTTAAGATGCTAAAGAAGAGGGCCAGTTTCCCATCTGTATACCCCAATTTATATCTGCTATGCTTCCACAGACCCATTCAAAAACACACAACTAAAAAGACTATACAAGGACAAAGTCATACAATGTTCCCTCACTTACCACAGCAATAACTGGAATTAGGACACCGAGGTTTCCAGCACTGCTCGATGCCTGGAGAGAGAAAGGAGGAGAGTAGATCTGGGTCACCTAATTCAGATTCAACAAACAATCCCACAATCATACCTGGCAGTGATCGGTCAGGTTTCTTCTCAAGCTCTCATCATTTAGTACTTCCAACACTTTTTATGTTATATAACTGAGTACAACACAAAGGAGACTGTCCAAAGTGTTCACCGTTGTCCCCATTTCTATAATTTACTGCGACAAGACTACAACACAAAAGGACAGAGAATCCTCAGAGAGCTATCAGGGAGGCAGCGGGGTGCAATCAGCGGGAGGGAAGATACGATAGCAGGCTTTTTATCCTGCCTCAGAGTGCAGTGCTTTCAGAACAGGTTGAAACACTATGAGGTCATAAGGTCTCAGTTCATTTCAAACCTACTCAACCCTTTTAGTCGTCTAAAGCAGAGCTGGTCTCACCTTGGGACCCACATTTTCCCACGGTCATTAAGTCACAACCCACTGTTATAGAATTCAGAAACCTGTAAAATGTATTTTTCAAAAAAATAAACACATAAACCTTTAACATAAAATATACACATATTTTCACCCCTGCAATCAGAGAACATAAACTGAGAAACATCAAAACTGCAGATTCTTATGAATAAATTCAAAAACAGAAAAAGTAAGACCTACAAAATTAGCTGTTTTCTGTCAAAATAAAAGTCAGACATCTGATAGCTAAGGACTGTGTGTGAGTGTACGGCCCAAAAATCCCATCTTGCACAAACCCGTCCCTTTCCTTTCTGTATCTTTAATGTCACTTCCTGTGAACTGGAACTGGAAGCGAACCATGGACGTTGCTGTTCATGGTTTCCATCTTTAAGAAGTAATGTACACACTGATATTCTAGCTGGAATGTATGCTTGCTTGCTTTTGATTGGCTCACAGTGCATTACCAGCTGAAGTTGCAGCAAAAGTTGAGTCAAAATTTAACTTATTTGTGTTTTTTTTGTGGAGCACCCCCCTTGTGGCTAACACTGCGGTCTTTGCATATGTGTGTGTATTTGTGTGTGTGTGTGCGGTACCTTCAGAGCCGGGCCTTTGTCTGAGGCTCTCTCACTGGCTCTCTTCCCCTCCAATCCCAGCTGAACGAAAAGCTCCAACAGGTTGACCAGCAGCTCGTCGACCATCTGCTCAGCCTGAAGGTTGGCGGCTATATTACCCAGAGCATTTATCACAGCCAAGGAACAGTGTCTGCGTGCAGGACAGGAGACATTCATTTACTAGACTCACCAAAAACTGTGAATAATACTCAGCGACACGAGGAGAAGATTATTTTCACATTTCAGTGGCTCAGTGGCTTTCAAAGTGGTGTCCGGGGACCCCCAGGAGTCCTTGAGAGGGTTCCAGGGGGTTCCCAGCAAAAAGGGGAATCATTTGTGTGGTCATGGGTTTTATATACTTTCTGGGATACACCCCGGGAAAAATCTAGGAAAACTGGGGATCCGTGGTCTAACTTGTGTCAATGTAGGGGGTCCTTAATGAGAAGAAATTTGAATCTAATCTAATATACATCAGTTATTTGCTAGCAATTTGCTACAGAGAAAGACACTTTCTTAGCTAACTAAACTAGCTAATCTACATCCAGGGTGCTTCTTTCTAAATAATCCTGCTCCATCCTTTTGGCTAAAAATCCAGCTTCACCAGTAGTTTGGTCAAATACTTTAGTTGTAAAATTTAATTAAAAGCAAGTGAAAGACAAAGAATACAGGGGATGAAAGAAATATAATTTGTTATTGCTATTGTTACTATTATTAGGAGTTGTATTAAACATGTTTTCCACCATTTTCCACCATTTGGACATTTAGAATACCTTATAATAATACAAGAAGAAACACAAGATAAGAAGTAGATATAGTCATAAAATATCATTACAAATGTAGACAAACATCAAATATACCGTACAATTCCACCAGCATCAAGGAAATTAATCTTTCTTGTTTTACTTCTTGTTCTTGTTACTGGAGCACAGAGCAAAAAGGGGCAGAACCTAGGAAGTTGTGTTATTTAAGATGGTGGTCACCTGTATCCATGGTCCTTGTAGTCTTTGGTGGAGTAGACCATGGAGCTGGCTTTGACGCTGATCTGCTGGAACAAATTCCATACTTCCTGGTAGATGTATTGCTAAGGTGAAAGAAAAAGTTATGACATAAGTTAAGTTTACACGAGCTGAAGCCAGTTTTACTTAAACAAGCAACAGAGAAGGTAGAGATATAAACACTAACATTGCCTGTGATGACCATGCAGCCGAGCTGGTCTATGATGAGGACATCGAGCTGGGACGGAGGCTGACAGAACTTCTGCTGCAGGATCTGGAGGATGGGCTCCATAACTCTGGGGGTGTCTCGTAAGGCCACGGCAATGTGACCCAAAGCTCTGATGGTGTGGTCCGGGATCAGGTGAGCATCCCTGAGGAAGAGAGGGGAACGTGTAAATACGCTCTCAAACGTCTATTAAGTAAATATAATGATGCTTGACTCACTTATCGTTCTCCTGGTAGATGTAGAGACGGTTAGACAGACTGGCGAGAAAAGCTTCTACAATCACATTATCCATAGTCAGTCCAGCTTTCAGGCACCTGAGGACGGACAACGACGGAGAAGTGAAGGTTATGTTCATACTAGTGTGTGTGTATGTGTTGTACAAGCGTGTGTGTGAGTGTGAATTTACCTGCAGATGTTGTCTATGGAGATGTCCCGCAGCTGTTCGTACATGGAGGGCTGACTCTTCTTGCTCGAATGGGTGCTGAGGGTCGACTGGGAATGTTCGTTGGTCACATGGATCTTTATCTCACCAGCCCCTTAAAAAAAAAACATCAGGATTTTGGTAAGAGAACACTGAACTGGAAGTAGTATTGCTATTGGATGAAGGGTGTTTTGTTGTTACCTGTGGTGTACTGGCTGTGGTATTTGTACAGCTTCACCAAAACAGGAGAGGGAACCACCAAGAAGTCTCTGAGGGACATGGTGACCGAGTGGGCCACCACAGGAAAGCGCTCACACAGACGACCCAAACCCTGAAGGAACAGACACATGTATGGATTTATGTGTACAAATGAACAACTATGGCAACATTAAGTAACTTCTGTTTGTTTGCTGCATTCTGTGTGTTACAGACATCAACTGCCAACTGATAGTCAAATAACACAATGATCTATGCTGTGACTGGTGTGATTTGCATTAAAGTAGGAAGCGTTATAAGACTAGATAGACAGAAATAAGGCTAACATGCTAATACAGTTGTCAATGTGCGTAATGGCCATAGTGACATTTTTCGTGCATAAAAACATAAAACTAATGATATTCCCATCAGCCTCAGCTTAACTTTGTGTTTACTGCTAATTAGTAAATGTTAACATGCTAACACACTGAATTAAGAAAGAGAGCATGCTAAACATAAGCATGTTAAATTGTGGGCATGTTAGCATGCTGTTAGCATTTATCTCAAAGCCACCTGCGCCTACAGAGGCTCACAGAGCTGCTAGCATGCCTGTAGACTCTTAGTCTTCTTTCTCTGTCTGACAGGGAATGAATCATGGTCACAGATTTATTCAAATATAAATAGTGGCTGCAAACAGTGCTATATCAACTCCAACAAAATCTGTGCCCACAGTTTCACACATTTTATGCATACGTGAACATTAAGCTTCTTTCCTATTAGTCTTTATGTGGCTCTTAAAGGAGGATGAAAAGAGAAGGATGAAGGTGGGTAACAACAAAGCAGTTAACTGTCACCTGTAAGCAGCAAATGAGGAGGGGCATGTGAGCGATGATGACTTTACTGGACGTCTTGGACTGCAGCTTCTCTGAGAGTTTGGTGCAAAGGTTCTCCGCTCCTGGTGAAAAAGTAAAGACAGACATTTTTCAGAGGTGACTTCTGAGACGGATCACTGAATGATCTGTCTGAACGAAGAGATTTCTCACCCTGCTCTTCGGTCACGGCCCACACCATGAGGTCCACGCAGGCAGCGTTGGCCTGACAGCGCAGTTTGAGGGGGCTCAGTTCGCTCTGGAGGTACTCCACGTCGTGCAGGATCCTCTGCAGCTCCGACTGGCTGCTGCTGAACTGCTCCAGCACGAAGTCATGAACCTCCTTCACGTAGTCTGTCTGAAGGTCTGGTGAACACAGAAAACACATTCTTATTGCTACTGTCGTATTTTTGAAGAAGATATTGGGCTAAATGTGAAAAATTGGGCTGAAATTTTACCTTTTAAATTGTACAGGGTGTCTCTTAGCATTTTAAAAATGGCTACATACAGAGGATCACTGAAGGTTTTATAGTAGAGATGAAGACCAGGACTCAACTGTCAAGACAGGAGAAGAAATGCATCAATGAACCAGTAGTGTCAGAGGAATACAATATACAAACATCAGCAGGGATTGGAGAGTCATACCTCTAGAAGTTCTGCCAAGGAGTCATCCAGTGATTTTAAAAACGACTCGGACACAAATTGTTCAACCTATTCGAGGGAAACAAGTAAATGAATTCTCACTTTTTGTACATCAAATTTTGCATCTCGCATCAAATTCTTTTTATTAAATCGAATGCATCTATTGTGCTGCGGTGGCTGCTGACCATGTGAAGGAGCTGTCTGAGCATATCCAGCGGGACATGAAACTCTCCAGAGCTGCTGCCAGTGAAAAGAGGGGAGACGGAGAAGCTGGAGCTGATGTTGGAGAAGTAGTAATTGGGGTCCACTGCGCTGCCGTCAGGGAGGTATGACCCTGAAGAGGGAAAGCAGGATTATTTAAAGCACCATTATTCAGAATATGAAAATAATTAGGTCTTATTCAGAATGGAGCATTTTCTGATTATGACATGTGGGATATGCTGATAATCTGACACACAGCTTGTTTACGCTCAGCTCTGTGCCTTGTAAACAAACCAACTAACTTACTGTTAAATGCCAACATCTCCTTCACACACGTAGTTCACTTTTGTGAGGACACAGTAGGTTTATGGGTTGGAGCCACCTCTGTATGTTTTGGTGAAGCTAGTTGAGTATTTTGTTTGTATTTGTTTCCCAGAGATAAATTATTATTTGTCACTACTTTGACTTATTTGGTTGTGGTGGTTTTTGTTGTGACAACACAATAAAGAAAAGCCTGCATTTCTGGTCGGAAGCTGGTTGAATTATTGAAAGAAGGAGACTCGAACAAGTCTGCCATGGATGGAAAACTGAATAAAAATTATCTTTTTTGATGCAAAGAGGCAACTTTGACCATGGGGGAAACATGACTGCAGTTTGAAAAGGAGGGAAAGGGAAGGAAATTCCCATAAACAGGAATATTAGTGTCTTATGGCAAAAAAATGAACATTTTGTGCATTTTAATATAGTTTCCGATGTTTCCTGAAAGCCCAATATCTCAACTGCTTCTGCTTTGGGTACTGACCTTCAAAGTATTGTGCAGAGGGATCAGCAGGTGAGATGGGGGTCAGACAGCCTCTCTCTGGACTGGCCTGAAAACACAGAAAAACATTTACACAGTGTTTGTGAAAATACAAAGCTTTTAACAAGGTAGGCTTGTCAACTTTTCTTTCCCCAAATGATCCCTACCTGCTGTGACACGCTGGACATAGAGGAGGCTTTACGTCGCAGAGTGTCTCCCTGACACACCGTGAGCAGAGAGCTCGGCAGGATGGAGCGGAAGTCGTTGAAGGACCGTCGGTGCACCGCGTCGCTCTCATTTTCAGTAGGCAGCACAGGAGCAACTGGTCGAGGGAACAGCTTGGACAACAGCGGCTCGTCAGTGTTGCTGTATCGGCCAAATGCTCGGGCGACACCGAGCAGGGTGGGCACAGTGTACCTGCACAGGTAGTCTGGACAGGAAAAGATTTACAGGGTGGAGCAGATGAAAATACAAACACAGCAAAGCGACATACTAAGGAAGAGTGAGGAGTGTTTTTACCTTTATCATGAGCCTCTGGATTCTTGCAGATATCTTGCAGGACCTGCATGATGTCCATAACCGCCTCCAGGATCTGACAAAGATGATCACATGCTCAACTCCACATCAACAAGATAACATCTAAAGCATTTTTCAGGTCAAAAGAACAAATCACAACGTTTGTTTACAATAACCTCCAAGTAGAAAACCCTCTGCATAGTCTACATACAATACAATGGCAGCAACATGTTAAATTCACTCATCTAATATGTTTCTTTTATGCTTTTTATATCTCATTCATAACAACACTTCCACCAATGTTGGGTTGAAGCTGGGCAACAGACTAAATGACAGCTTGAGTTTACCCACAATTAGCAGTTAACGTTACTCCGACCAGCGGTTGGATGTGGCTATTTTTGTGGTTTATTAAAGACACAGTACATAAAATACGCACAGTAGAAACGTCAGACCACCGTGTTAAACGATATAACTTTAAATGTTAAAGCTACGGCTGAAAATAACAACAGAAATAAACAAATCTGCCAATTTAATGTTTGTCCACGATTAAAAAATGGTCACTGTAGTTGTTCCTCCTGTCTATACCACAAACAATAGATTGCTGAAGCTACTGTGCTGAACTTTATTTCACTAAAATTCAACTTGGACCCTTTTTATCCGTTGCTTCCTCTATCATTGTTAATGATTGCTGAAAGTCGTGGGGTGGTGGGGCGTGAGCATTTTTCTGCTTCTGAAAGGAGGCACTTAATACAGAAGCTCATGTAAATGACACAATTCAAAAATTAAAAATTTAATAAAGATAAATGAAAATGAAATAAAAGTTTCTAAGGCTGGGTGCAGGTTAAAGGTCCAGTGTGATAAACAAACTGTAGTGACACTGCTTGGCTTATAGAGGAAAGGTATGCAGAAGCAGAAAGGAGAAGTCTCAGAACTAAGAAATTATTATTATTATTATAATTTTTTTAACTGTATGGTTGGCTTTCTCTACTGGGTTCGCGCAGAAGTTGGTGGGGAATTGTATGGGGAAGCAACCTATTATTATTATTATTATTATTATTATTGATATGATTATTATTAATATGATGATGATTATTATTGTTGTTGTTGTTGTTTTCTTTATTTTCTTTATTGTCTTTATTTATTTTTATTTTTATTTTTTTCGTTTTATTTTTTATTTTCTTAACTGCTTTAGGCTTATTTCTGTTGGTTACATCTTCCCTTAACTTTCGATACAAATAATCTGCTATGTTGACTATGTGTCGAATGTTAATATGAAAAGTTATCGTTAAAATAAAGTTATACAAAATCATATTTCTATACAATCAAAGATTAAGTTAAAAGTACTATCTTTGAATTAACAGGTGATTAATAACAATACTAACTAGGGATGTCCGATATTATCGGCCCTCCGATATTATCGGCCGATATTCACTAAAAAA